CTATGAGAGCTTTTAATTAATTCTCCTAAAAAAGAAAAGAATTAAATTAAAATAAATTAAAAAATAAAAAAATTAAAATAAAAAAATTAAATTTAAAAAAAATTATTTAAAAAAATTAAATTTAAAAAAAAAGAATTTAAAATAATAAAGAATATACCTTCTATTAGGGTTCCACATAGGCCGAGCTGGGCTGGATATTTTAAAGTTCAGATCCAGCTCAACAAAAATATGTATCATTTTTTTATATCCAAATCCAGCTTATATTTGATTGGATAAATCCAAGCCTAGCCCATATTCACATAGTACTATCCAGATTCGGCCCATGAATCCAAACTAGAGTTTGGAACTAGTTTTGTTCTAATATATTAAATTAGATTTAATATGCTGATACTGTATAAATCAAAAATAAATTGCACTGCCGTTACATATACGTAATTAGTTTTTTCCAATTATGATTAGTATTTGATTTAAGCAATTTACATTTTACAAATTTTGTACTAAATTTATTACAGCATATAAAATTTATATATCCCACTTAGACAACCAATTTCGCTGACATATTAATACTTTAACAGTATCTGAATCTAAATTTATACGATAATCATCAATAATTCTGCCTGCTAAACTAAAAATTTGCTCTGATAGTACACTTGTGGCTGGAATAGCTAAGAAATCCTTAGCTATCTTTGACAAATTTGGAAATCGGTTATGATTTAATTTTCACCAAGAAAGTATTTTTACATTTTTTGAAATTGTGGTTCATTTAAGTATTGTTGAATTTCATAAAGATTATTAGTGTTCATATATTTTCACTTAGATATATATTAATAATATCCTTTATCTGAATAGTTATCAAAATTAGATACGTTGCTTTCATTACTTTTAATTGGCATATTGGTAAATAAATGATTATGATAGAATCTAATATAAGTTTCTTCAAATCTATAAAAATAATATAATATATATATAATTAATATAAATTAAACTTTATTATAAATTATCTTAGTATAGTAAATTTTTAATAATAAATAATAATAAATATTATTACTTCATTTGTAAATTAGCTACAATTTTTTCAGTTTCTTCTTGTGATAGTTTTTCTTTTTGTTCATAGTAATATCTAAACCAATCTAATTTATAGCTAGGATCAAGTATGCATGCAATTATATGCAATATATTTATATCCTCCCAATATTTATTAAACTTCTTTTTCATAGAGTCAGCGAATTTACAAATAAATGCATTAGAATTAGTTTGCATTTTTTGTAAATGTAATTTAATTTTAAAAATTATTATAATAGTATTATTAAGTGTCAAATATGAGCTTGCGGATATTTGTTCAGTACCTTTAATAAATATTTAATTATTATAGTATATAGTATTAAATATATAAATTAAATAAAAATTGAAATTATATTTACATTCATAAAAAATTTTAAGCCTGTTATAAATTATACTTGCTTGTTCCCATTCTTCTTTGGATAGTAAGTCAGAAAAATGTTGATCATGATGTTTAAGTTTATAAATGTTTGTTTAACTTTAATAGCAGAATTTAACATAAGGTATGTAGAGTTCCATCATGTAGCACAATCAAGTGAAGGTATAATTATATTAATATTTTCATAATTACAGGCATCAATAAAATCTTGTCGACATTTTGGTAAAGAATGAACTGCTTTTACACAGTCACAAACCTATATTAATTATAAATATAATAAAAGGATAATTTATTAAATATATAAAATTAAATATAAGAGTTAAATATTATAAAATATAATACCTTTTTAATCACATCTGAAATTTTTTTTGTACTATCTTGAACAATTATATTTATAATATGAGCCAAGTAGTGATTGTGCAATAGTTCAGTATTAATATTAATTGAAAGAGAACTAAATTGTGTAGCAAGTTCACAAATAGCAGCATCATTTGCTAAAGCATTATCAAGTGTTATAGTCTGTAACTTTAAAAATTTAATTAAATTTTTAGCTTTTAATTTAATAAAAAAATTATAAAAAATAAACAAATAATCATACTTTTGTTGTAATTAAAAACTCATCTGTGCTAGATATAATTGAATTAGCAATATTTATCCCCATATGTGGAAAACGTAATAATTTAAATGACATTAGAAAACTAGAAAGTTCCTAATTATCATTTATAAAATGTACAGTAATAAAACTATAACTAAGTTGCTGCTGAGATGTCCAGATATCTGTTGTTAATGATATTCTACTAGAAATATTTTGAAGAATATCTTTAACATAATTTTTTCGATTATAATATAATTTTAATATATCTTGTTTAATAGTATCAGCATAACAAACTTTGAAATCAGGTTGTAATCCTGAAACAAAAGTTAAAAACCCAGTATGTTCTATGAATTGAAAGCTTAATTCATCTTTAATAATCATATTAACCAAATCATTTTTACTTCTTTCTTCAGAAAAAACCCAACTTCTAGTTTGATTAAATGTTTGCATTTTATCTTTTGTATTATGTTAAATGCTTGTAGAAGTTAGTAATCCAGTAGCTATTTTATATTTATTACAAGTTTTGAGATGACGATGTAAATGTGTAGTACCTGATGATTTTTTTTGTGAAAACTCTCTATTACAATGAATACATCATGCTTTATTTTTACTAGCTATTAAAACAAAATCATTCCAAATTGCTGATGTAAGCTTTTTTTTATTAATATAAACTTTATTACTAGTAGATGTTTCTTGATTTGATACAGAGTCACTTGGTGCAATTGAACTACTATCATCAATTTCCATTAAATTTTTTTTTTATTTAAAAAATAAGTAAAGCATTTTATTATTATTTTTATATATTATTAATATTTACTAATACAACTTTTATTTTAAATACAATTAGAATGATGTAAATTATTTGTATATATATAATCGATTCTATGTAATTAAATATAGATAAAAGCTTTTAAAAATTAAATTAAATTTAAATATATCACTAGATTTTTTAAATCTCTTAATTATCATTATTAAATTATTTAGATCATAATTTAATGTCATAAAAAATATGGTCTATTCATTGGATTTGGATCTGAATTCGAATATTTTGAGCTCGATCTAATTTTAAATAGATCTAGATTTTTAAATTCAGATCCAACAAAAAATTCAGATTAGTATCCAAGCCCAGCTCATATAAGACCAATTCATGAAGCACCTATGAATAGTCCAGCCTATGCAGAACCCTACCTTCTATACAAATACTTACTCACTTCTTAACATATCTTGCAAACTACAGTCTACTGCTAACAACTTTAGCAACTATATTAGATGCTTCTATTTTTTTTTTGCTATTTAATAATAGCTAAAGAAAATATAAAACTGCTATATAGCAAGCCTTTTCAGGATCTGAAAGTCACTCTTCTTATATTACCTTATTCACAAATTTGATTATTTTAGAAATCATTTCATCTTCAGCTATACTCTTATTATTACTTTCATTTTCATTCTCACTTTCATTAGAAAGTTTATTATTAGCTAATAGAGAACTATTAGAAGAAAAGAATTGTAAAATTTTTAGTGATTCTGTAGCTGTATCCTTTAATTTTTTATTTTTCTTTTGCTTAGTTTGTTTAGAGTTTCTAACATAAATAGTAGGTCTTTTTTTTTTTAATACTTGCTATTGATATAATGAAGTGACTAATTACTAACTTTATGTTATTATCATTGTTCTAAAAGTAACTATCTCTTTGGCTACTATAATTAACTTTAGAAATGACTAAGCTTAAGCTATTACTTTTATATTTAATACTTGACTCAAGGTTAATAATATTACTACTTGTTCTGGTGCTAGTATTGTTCTTGCTATTAGTTGTAGTATTGTTCTTAGTAATTCTAGTACTAGTATTGGTATTAATTCATACAGAGCAAGCTACACTTGCTTTTTTTTGTTTCAATTGTTTTAGTTTTGATATCTTAAATATTAAAATGATTAAAAGTTAAAAAAAAAAGATTGATAATACAGATAGAAGTTTTTTATCTTAATTGATCTGATTGGTCAGTAGTCATATAATAGACAATCTCTTGATTTTAATTGGTTAGTCTTATATACCAAATTCGTAACTAATATATAAAATATTTAAAGTTTAAATAATAACTATACTATCAAAAGTAAAAATAAAAAAAATTCTCTTTTAGAAATTTAGCTTTATTTAAAAATTATTAATTTGAAAAAGAATTTTTTTATTTAGTAATTTTTTAGTAAGCTATAATATTTTTTATAAGCTAATTTTATTAGATATCTTTAGCTATCCTGTACTATATCAAACAGAATTACTAAACTAAGTAGCAATAAGATACAAAAAACTAAGAGTATCTGCAGATAAGAGAAAAAAGAAATAGATAATATTTGAGAAAGAAAAAAAGTCTGAAGATAGAAAAATTATAAAAAAAGTATCTAAACATTTTATTATAAAGTATTAAAATGTAGAAGAAAATAATTATATAAGAAATAAGATCTGGCGATCTTAGTGTAGTGGTTAGGTTGCCAGACTATTATACAAGAGATCTAGAGTTCAAATCCCACTGTCGATAAATTTGAATAATTACTCAAACATTTATACCCAACTTATGGTAAACTCTGCCTGTTTCTGGAGGTTACAACTCTGTAAATCACATTGCACCAATATCAATTAGATATTAGAAGTGTGACGCAATGCTTGAGTTACATTATGCGAATAAATCTTAATAGGATCTACAAGCAGGGGATCTGTATAGTAGAAATACCGAGTTTGATAAAGTAGTACAGATTTCGACAGTTAAGTCGGTTAATACCTGATCCAGTGAAAAACCTGAGTACAAAGAATATGAGATCGATAGGTGCGAATAAGTCCACTGTATAATGCAGCCTGGTGCCTTGCATTAGTAGCAACACTAACTTGGCTTAGCAGCTAACTAGATTGGGAGGATTTACCTCGT